TGCCAGGAGAAGGACAGATGGTCCTCACCTCATGGAGAACATGGTGCTAGAGGGAAGGTGGGAGGGAGCCAGAACCAGCCACAGGCTGTGCACATCTGGAGGACTGGGGGTGACAAAAGAGAGAGAGACACAGGGAGAAAGGGGGGAGGGCCCCTCATTTCCTATACTGAACTGAAAAGGACTGAGCCATTGTCCAAGCTATCCTTCCTCACTCTACCAGAGCCTACGTACCTGGTCTGACCAAGGGATGGGACTCAGGGTTCCTGCTCTCTCCTGGGCCAGGCAACACAGGGAACGCTCCCCTCCCCCCGCTTCTCCAATCTAACCATGATCTTGTCCCTCAACCTTTCTTGCACTTGTATTTTCTGTGCATCCTTTAGTGAGAAAACAAACACCTCTTATGTCCTCAGCCTTTCCCCAGCATCTGAGCAGCAAATCTGATAGAACAGTAGTACTATCAGATACTGATTCAGTGATCATTTAGAAGAGCTGGCTTATCTCAGGTGCCTGGTCTCAAAGATCTCTCCTCAGGGTTGTCCTCTGAATCTTATTTTACATTAACTTGTAAGGCTGGCTAGAGCCCCTGGTGTGTGCACATGAAATATTTAGCAATGATCTCAACCAACTGCACCAGAACTTCTAGGGAGGGAGCCCAGGTACCTCTATTCTTAAAAGCCTCCTAAGTGATTCTAATGTGCAGCCAGGGTTAAAAACCACTGGATTAATGGGACCCAGAGCAGTATCACTAGGAGCATAACACTCAGGATCAAGGAGGTGAGAGACTGCTCTATTATGACCTGAAATATTACAATCCATGCCAGGGCCTCACTCTAAAAAGACAGTGATGAAACAAACATGTCCAGAGGATGGCAGTGGGGGTGGAGAAATCATATCAGCTGAGGAAGGTTGAGGGGAGGGGGCTATTTTGCTGCTCAGATGCTGGGGAAAGGCTGAGGACAAAAGCCACGGGCGCTCTGTTTGCCCCATGAGACCCAGGGTTTCCAATGCTCTAACAAGCACCACCTCATTAGCGGTGAAATAATGTCATCATAATTACCTGGAGCTGGTGGAACCAAATGGCAGGTTAGGAACATCCTCAGACACAAGAGCAGATTTAACTTGCCCCGAGGCACCTACACCCAGCGAGGTGCTGATGAACCGCCTTCATCCATTATGGTCAGGTGTTCCAAGTGTAGGATGCGGGGCTCAGCAGAGCCCCAGCACACGCTCAGACCACTTCATCCAGCAGGAGGCAGACACACTCCCCTCCAGGACTGGGGTCCCAGAAATGGGAAGATAGCTTCCCGGGAATGGAGGCGGCCGCTGCCACAGGCAGATGCTGAAGGGGAGAGCAGTCCAGAGTAGGTGGGAGAGGAAGAGATGGTCACAGGCCCATCCACTGCTGAGTTAGGTTCCATCCCTGACCAGCTAGGGTGGGAATTGCCAGCAGCCTTCCTGCCCCACCTAGAATCGGTTTTGCTGGTGGCCTAAATGTTCTTTGCTTGCAGGTTCTTGCTGCCACAGGGACTGGCTATAAAGGCAGCCCATACAATTGGTAACTCTACCAACATTTGAAATGCACAGGCCTGTGACCCCAAGTTTCCACTTAATGGGCTCCATACTGTAGAAACTCTAGCACAAGTCCACATTGTTTATATCCAAACTAGATATAAGAACTGGCAAAATATATTCCAGAACAGTAGTACCATCAGATACTATGTAACAATTTCAATAGAATGAGGAGCTCTTTGCAAGAAGCTAGACACAAAATAGAATATATTATTCTAGATACAGCTCTGGATCCCATTAATCCAGTGGTTTTTAACCCTGGCTGCACATTAGAATCACTTAGGTTTTTAAGAATAGAGGTACCTGGTGCCAATGGTTGAGATCGTTGCTAAATATTTCATGTACATGCACCAGGGGCTCTAGCCAGAAGCAGAGAACTCTGAAAGAGGAAACTATAGGATTCCACTTATATGAAGTTAAAGAACAAGCACAATGAATCTGTGGTGAAAGCAGCCAGAATAATATCTCTGGTGGGGCCATTGACTGGGAAGCATGTGTGTATGTGAGAACATGGGCCCGCCCCTTCCCAAGCTCCAACTCCCCCTCCCACCCTGTGGGAATATGATGAAGGCCATCAGTAAGCAGACTGGGACTGACCTTGGGAGCCTGGCCAGCTCCTCCGTCAAGAAACCGCCGAAGAGAAACTGCCTGGGCTGTGAACAAGTGTAGAGAAACAGCTAGCGCTCCGATCTCCCACAGCTGTGTGCGAGTGCGGGCCTGTGCCCTTTGTTGTTCCCTACCCTCTACACAGCCGTGTGCTGCGAACCCTGTGCTGCAGACCACACTGCTCAGCCACCACCCGTGCGCACGTAGTAAACCCGTGTCTTTCACAGCTAGGCTTCCGTGTTATTTCTTTAAAATCCACAAGCAATACCCCCAGGTTTTCTCAGACCTTGGCTCTTTGCATAACAAAGGGGCTCTGGGGAACTTTCTGGATTCTAAAAGTGTTTTATATCTTGACCTGGATGATGGTTGCATGGGTAGAGATACTTGTGTGAAAATTCATGGAGCTATACATTGAGAACTAGTGTCTTTTAAACACTAGATGTATGTTACACCTCATTTAAAAAGTAAAGAAACAGAAGAACTGACTTGGGTAAAGAAAAAAACAACAACGAAAGTTGCAGAATAGTATGTCTGACATTATTTTTGTAAATGTGTAACCTGGGGAAAAGTCTGGAAGGACAGCAAACCCTTAATAGTGCTTCCCTCTGAGTAGGGGACTGGAGGTGAGGACAAGCACTTTATACATTTCTCTTTTGCTTGCATTTGGATCTGCTGCTCCCCACCCCCGTCCATTCTGCTTCCTCACTTCATGTCAGCCTCCAGCTTCTCTATGGGTTCCCTGTCCTTGGCGGCTTGGGGTTTGGCTACTTGAGGCAAACTTTGGCTCCATATCTCAGTTTAATACTTGGGCTTTGCAACAGGATATGTGGACATTGCCCCACTTAGATCAGCCATGGTCTCTGCTCATTGGCCCACAAGGATCAGCATCCCACTCAACAACTGCCTCCTGGGGTGAGCACGGTCAGGGGCCTACCCCTGAGCAGATCTCTTGGAAGGCACCATTCACGCCTGTGAATAGAAGCAGAGCACTCTGAAGGAGGAAAGAGGCAGGTAGAGAAAGACAGGGTGACTCAAGGCCCCTGGCCATGCTGTTTTCACTCCCACCAGTCTCGTCCCTCGTCCCTCCTTGGAGTGGTCAGATATGCTAATTGGTCTTCACAGCCTTGGTTACAAATGGTCCTGGAGTTGAATTCCAGTCACACCTCAAGCCAGGCAAATGAACCCTTGCTCTGTCCTCTTTTTAATATGGATGTGACACCTGCAGGCTACAGCTTGACGCACTGTGAGAATTATTTCTCCATTAAAATGCAGGAGTTGGAGCTTTGCCCAGAAAGGGCAGCTAAAAATACTGCTCTCTGGGTACTTGTCACAGGGAACTTAGTGGCCACCTTCCTCAGCCACCCCCCCCCCCCCCCGGCAAGTCTCTTACCTGCTAGGTCACTCCTAGAAGCACTTAATACAGTGTCATCTCTAAGCCTTAACCTGCCCTGTTAGAAAGGAAAAGCACTGGTAATCATACCTGGTTTACAGATGGACAAACTGATTCAGTCAGCTTGTTCTGGGCCACAAAATCGCCTAGGGAGCAAGAGTGTGCAACCTCGACTGCAGGAGAGGAAAGATAAGCCCTACTATGTGCCCAGTACTTTATAGTTTGCAGTGTCTTCTTACCCACTGCCTGGCCAACCCTCACAACAATCCTATGAAATGAACTACTGTCATCCCACCTTATTATGGGGTTGAAGCCCAGTAATGTGAGCAAACCCAAGGTGGTAGATGGGGGAAGCAAAGGCAGAGACTCTCACGGACCTTTTGGTTCTAAACCAGTGGTGGAACTTCAAGCAAGGTGACCCTATCACTCCCGGGAGCACCTACTTTATAACAAGTGCTCCAGTTAGCAAAGAATGTCACATACTTTTCAGAACAGGACTCATCCCCCTACTTAATAGGTAAGAAAATTAAGGTTCAGAAGTATGACGACTCGGTCACAGGTTAGTAGTGGAGCCAGGAACCAAATTCAAGTGTCCTGACCCTCAGCCCTGGCTCCTGCTGCCACCCCAAGGCCTGTGGAGCTCTGGGACCAACGGGCAGGCTAGCGCTGAGGTCAGTGCTCCAGGGGAAAATAACACGAGCACCCTGCAAGCGCCTGCGACCTGAACCTGGTTCTCTGGACGCCTGTGTGCCTGCCATGCTCACCCCTCCTTCTCAGTCTTCGGAGGTGGAAAGTGGTGAAAACCTCAGGCCTACTTTTCATATAAGAAAAGAAGGCCCAAGGAAGTGAACACCTTGCTCCAGGTCACAGGCCCACTGAGTCCAGTGTTGCTCAGTGGTTGAGTGTTGACCCATGAACCAAGAGGTCACTGGTTCCATTCCCTGTTAGGGCACATGGCCAGGTTTGGGCTCGATCCCCAGTGAGGGGCATGCAGGAGACAGTCGACCAATGTCTCTCTCTCATCAATGTTTCTATCTCTCCCTCTCCCTTTCTCTCCCAAAACCAATAATAATAATAAAATTTTATTAAAAAGAATAGCACGCAGAACTCCCTTTCTGGTACCAGCTTCTCACTGGGTCTCAGCTTCCCCATCTGCAAAATGGGGTATTAGCAGAAGCCCTAAACAAACCTGGGGTCAGAGTCTTCTTTATGGGGTGTTTTAGGAGTGAGTGGAGCCCCATACAGTAACCAAAGGGCCTTTCTACATGGCCAACTTCACTTTACCAAGAGAGAAACTGAGGCCAGGGAGGGGCGACATGGCTCCAGAGACCGAGTGCTGTAAGGATGGTGAAAGGAGGTCCAGCTGTGATGTCCAGGAAGGAATCCTTCCTGCTGAGTCCTGACCCGGCCCTATTCCATGCACTTCACAGAGAAAAAGCTTTCTACAAAGGCATTTATTTTCCCCCAAGTACCTCCCCGCCTCCCCCCAGTTTATGAAATTCCTGAGAGTCCCACATTTAAATTAGAAATCCCCATGTCTTCACTGTTGGTGAAGGGAGCTATGTCAGTGGGAGAACGTCAGAAGTTCATTCTACCAGGGGCTGAGGGCTGGCCAAAGAGAGGCCAGGAAATGTCTGCCCAGCCCCAGAATAGCACCATGGTGGGGGAAGGGAGGAGGGGCTGTACCCCTGGCCGAGGCCCCAGGCATCCTTCTTGCTGGGCTCTTGGGGTCTGTTTGGTCTTGCCTGACTGCCCACCTGCTCACTCTGAAAAGACACTTTGGGGACATCAGCTTCTCACCAGTTAGAGTGAAAGGTTCCATCCCTCTCTCCAGGTTTCTACCCACCTCCTGCCACTCTGAGTAAGAACCAGAGATGGGATGGGGTGAGGTACCTAGGTAGCTGGGGGCACAGCAGAGGGGTACAGCAGGGAGAAGGCAGGAGTCCCTCTCATGAACTGCTATTTCCTCACAGGGTTGCAGCTAAAGGGCAAGTCCTTGAGGAAGCAGCTTGTCTTCTCAGGGAGGGTTCCCCACACCTAACACAGTGCCAACCCCCATGGTGCTCAGTGAACATTACTTGAATGAATAAGCAAAAGGCAGAAAAGCAGAGGAACAGAAGCTGATCCCCAGGACCCAGTGTGACCAGCATGTGCTTCCCGCGGGGACGGTGGGCAGAGGGGGGCTCACAGGGCACAGACCAGGGCACCTTGGAAGAGACCGGCCCAGGGGGAGCCTGTACGTGTTCCAGCACGTGCACCTGTGCCTCTGCATGCCTGGGAGGGGACCTGTGTTCACTCAGTGGAGGAGGGAAAAGCCGGCGTGGGAGAAAGCAAGAGGAGACACCGCTAGACTCAAGGAGATACTGAGGCTGCAGTGCCCCATCTGAGGATATGGATTAACAGGCAGGTGGGAGGAAGTCTGAGAAGTGAGAGCTAGTGTATCAGGGCCACTGGAAAAACAAGGTGAGGAGTGACTATGTATCGTGTCTTTGGAGAAACAAGTCAGAGGGTCAGTCTGAAAGCTGAGTGCTCTAAAGAAAAAGGCAGCCAGATGGTCCATGTAGCGTATCCATTGGAGAAACATGGTGGTGGGGTCTGTGTATTGTGTCCATAAGAAATAAGGCAGCAGGATGACTTGGGAGTCGTGTCCATTGGAGAAATGAGGCTGTAAGTGGTCTTGTCTCGCATCCTCCGCAGAATGAGTAGATTCGCCAGGATGGGAGCCATCTGTTGGGGGCAAGGAAGCCCGAGCCCAGGGCTCACACAGAGGCCCCAGTGCAGGCAGAGGGGGGAGCCCAAGGCAAGGGCAGCAGCTCCCTGATCCTTTGGTCAGGCTATTTCTGGTCCATCACCTAAATTTCATGATGGGAAGAAAAAAAGGGGGGGAGGAGCATTAAGTGCCTGAGTTCTACTCTTGGGAGAGTGCCAGAAGCCCAGGCACATGGTCACATACTTCAGAGCGGGCAGTGTGTGTGGGAGTGGCCACAGAGTTCCAGCTAGCAGTCCCCAGCACTAAGCGCTGCCCCACGGCCCAGAAAGACACAAACACCGGAGTTGGGCATCAGACAGGTGCCCGGTGAGGGCGCCTGAGGGAGACTGCTTAGTCCTCACCAATCCCCATGGGTCCACTCAACTCAAACACTTCCCTCCCACTGGCCCCTCTGCCTGGCACACTTTTCCCTTCCCATCTCTTCTGTCCGCCAGTAGGAAACCCTTTCCAGCTTCTCTTCCCCACGCCACTATCCCTAGCAGCCATGCTGTGGGAAACCTTCCTCCCCCTTGTCTCCATGTAGAGGGCACCTCGTGGATTCATAGCCCTGGCCTCACTCTCCTCCTGGCCTGAATGGAGAGTTTAGAAGGAGGACAGGGACATGTGTGACCCCACCCTTCCCTCTCCCATTCTTTGGGGGTCTGTCTGTCCCGGAAAATAGCTCTCCTCCTGTGGACTGCCCCTGTGCTTGCCCAGCAAGTCCAGAGCCTGGGACCCAGAGGAAAGCTCAATGAAGGGATGAGCATTCCTAACAGGGACACCAAGGTGACTTGAAAAAACTCTAAGGCTCCATAACCTTTGGCAACCAACCTTGATTTTCTAGGTGGAAGCCACTCAGGTCTGTAATAGGCAGTTAGATAGACATGAGCAGAGCAAGGACAATAGGCCAGGTATAGAAGGTCACCAGGGTGGTGCCTAGCAAAAGACAATTGTAGGGTGGGACCTCGCCCCCAGGGTGACTTCTCCTCCCCTAGCATATGGCTGGTTATGGAGTTTGGATCCCGTAACCTTTCCTCCCTAGAGATAACATCTAGGCCTCAGTTGGATTTCAGTTCCAGGCCCAGATAAGCAACAAAACCAGCTATGGCTGACCTCAGGACCAGCTGCATTGGCTAATGACCCCCTGCCCTGACCACCACCAGCCAATCAGTGGAGACCTAGACCCTGAAAGGACACCTGGAAAGCTGCTGAATACTCTATTGAGATTTTCCCCTGGGACCCCCCCTAAACTCTCCATCCTTAAAACCCTTAGAATGGAGGACCCAGTGTGCGCTCCCTTCTGAGAACGTGCCCTTGCCTTTTTTTCCCTCTCTCCCTCGTTTTCTCCCCTCCCTCTCCTCTTTCCTTCTCCCTCCCCGTCCCCCTCCTAGCCCCAGGCACTTTACCATTTGCTTCCTCACTCCCAAGCTCCAAGGGCCCTTCCTTTACCTCTATAACTTGTTTATTAAGTGCATTTCTTTTAGAATTACTTTTTTACCTCTATGATTTACTAAATAAATGTTCTCTTACAGCTGGGTCTTGGCTCTGAATTCTCTCCTAGCCAGAACCCAAGTACCGAGGTTGCTGGACCCAGGTTTGGTCTGACCCCACGCTTCAGAGGGCAGAGTAACCAAGGTCCCAGCAGCTCTACTAGGGGGTGCGAGGGGAGTGGAGGCTGCTCTTCTGGGGAGCAGGTCACCAGCAAGGGGTGTAATCACTCCCCCATGACCCTCCGTGCCTCCTACACACAAGTGCACAGACACACACAATCTCAAGTACCACGTGTCATTACCTTCTTTGTTTTCAGAGTGTTTTAGAGGCCTCAGGACTGCAAAAAAGGAAGAAGCACATAGTTAGGAGGAACTGTGGAAAGTTGTGTTGTAGAGGGTGGTGTGGAGAGATAGAAGGACTGGGAGGAGGAGGCAGGAGAGTGGGGGAAACATCATAGCACCAAGGAAGGGGGCCTAGGCTGCTGTCCCAAGTCCCAGCTCCACTCTGTGGCTTGTCACTCCCATCTCTAGGCCTCGGTTTTCTGCATCAGTCGAATGAGAACAACTACCTGCCCTCCAGTGAGATAGAGATGTGGTATCTACTCCACAAACACAGTGAAGTAAGGAGCAAGAGAGGCTGCGGATGTCCCCGGAAGTCCCCAGGACCATGTGGAACAGACACTGACCAAATCTCTAAGCCACCAGCTCCTGCTCTCACTTCTTTCAACTCCATCTGCCTCTGAGCATGAAAAAAGGAGGCCTGATCCCAGAGCCATCTCCACACCCGGACACCAAAGGCAGATAATTAATTGGCATAATTTATAGCAGTCCCAGGTGTCCATTTCTTGCCCTTCGTTCTGTGGGTGTGGGGAGGGAACTGGTGTCAACTAACATCATCCCAGATGGCTCAGCAGGAACCTGCCTTTCCCAGCCCAGGAGCCAGAAGGGAAGGCAATGAGGGCACCATGACCACGGGACACCAGCATGTTGGCACCCACCCCACGCTGGGCTCCGTTTGTGTCCCCACAGCACCAGGACCTTTGCAAACTTCTTTCCTATCCTGTCACTTCAGAGAGCTCCAAAACCAGCTTCGGGTGCCATCAGGGCAAGGGCAGGATGACATTTACAGATGGGAAACGGAAGCCCAAAGGAGCAAAGTTACCAGAGTTACTTAACCTGTATCCAGAATGGGACTATCTTACACTATCTGCCTAGTAACAGGACTCCAAGGTATTGAGCACTTCCTAGGTACCAGGTATGATAGTAGGCCATTTATAGACATTACCTCATCTAATCAAACCCACACACCCAATGAAGGGAGGCAGTTCTTATGAGAAAACTGAGACTCAAAGATGAGGAGGTCAAGGCCCAGAGAAGCAAAGCTCAAGGCCACTTAGCTTATATGAGCAGGAGCTGGAACTGAAACGCAGGCTGCTCTATCTCCCTCCCCTAGGAATCCACCAGACTCCACAGTGCAGGGTCCCTAAGGGTGGGACTGGCTGGCAGATGGGTAAAGGTAGGCAGGTGAGGTGAAGCAGCACCTGGAAAGGAATCAGGGGAGAGCCACCTCCAAGCCTAATGCTGAGCAGAGACCAGACTCACATGGGTGGTGAGGCCTCAGTTCACAGGACACGCTTCATTCAACCTCAAGCAAATATGGCTCCTCCAGGTCCTGAAGACCTCTCCCCTGTCCCTGTGTCCTTTCCTCAGCCAATAAGACCAGCTACAAGCTTAGACTTACCAGTCTTAGGTCCTTCTCCATCCCCATCCTGGTCCTCAGCTCCTGGAAGAGCAAACAAAAACTTTCTCAGCCCCATTTCCATCATTGCACTTCCCCACCTGGGGGTGCAGAAGGCAGGTAAATGGGGAACAGACCTGACCCATGGCCAAGTGTTGGATACAGAGTCAGAACTTGAGAGCAAGTATCACAGAGTAGAGCCCTGGGGCAGGATAAAGGGCTCCCAGCCACTCATCTTGCCAAGGACCAGCTACTCACCTTCACCAATCCACTGAACCCATCATCTACCCATCCATTCACCTACCAATCCAGTCAATCACCACCCTCCAACATGTATACCTACCCATCTATCGGTCCACTCATCCTTCCACCAGCCCACCCAGGCACTGCTGCACAAGCATCACCTATCTGTCAACTGACCAGCCTCTTCCCCATTCACATATTCACTGTCCTTCCTGACACCGAGTCATCTTTATCTCTCACCATTACTTTCATGTTTACCCAAGAAAACCTCTGTTAACCTCTGTACCACCAACCAGGGTCAACTCACCCACTCATCAATGTCCACTCCCTTACCCACCACTCACCACAGTCAACTTACCTACCAAGGTCAAGCCACCCATCTCCTGAGATCAGCTCACCACCTGCCAGCCACCAAAGTCTGCTCATACCGACCCTAGCCCAGCAAATGGCAGAAGATCCAGGCTCTTCCCCGTCTGAGGCAGACACACCCTCACATAATGACCCCAAACCCATGAAACATTCACACTTATGTTAAATTTCTAAACCTGTGCTCTCACTCTCACTCACAGTCACACTCGTGGGATTTATTCTCACAGACACATTCATCACCTTCTCACACTTCACCCTTACACGTCTACCACTGCTTCCAGTCACACTCATATACATATTCAACCTGCCATACTTGCACACTCACAGGTAGACTCAACTTATTCACACACACAAGACATATTCAGCCCCAAGGTCATACACACACAATCTAGCCCCACTGGCACACCCACATTCATTCTGTCAGGGGAAAGTAAAACTCATATTGATGTCACAGGCACACCAACATGCCCAAAGACATGTGCACACACATCCACACACCCCTCTCACCTGCATTCTCCTCTTCACAGCTCTGTTTGATCTTTCTCCAGCACACGAAGGCCAGGGCCACCAGCAGTGCAACAAGACAGACAGAGAGTCCCACGGTCACCCACAGGGCCTCAGGGGGGAATGTCATGGGCTGTCCTGGGAGGGGCAGTGGGGAGAAATCATCATCTCTGGCCCCCATGGCCATGAAGTCAGAACCCTCTGGCTCCAAGGTGCATGGGGGACTCCCACCCTCTCTGGGCCCCAACACTATGCACATGCCCTTTCCCTGCTCACCCATACACCCTCCAAACCCTGACAGACCATGGCTGGTATGAACATGCTTCAACCTGGTAGGGTTGAAGAGTTTTCAGTTGATGCTCAAGAACTTTCTATGGCTCCCTGTGGATCTGAGAATAATGCTTCAATCATTTTTACAGGATTCAAGGACCTCGATAATCTAGCTGCCACTTAACCCCCCTCCCCCTCCTTTGTATCTAATTCCACTATAGGAACCTCTGCTGCAGCCAAACCAATGTCCTGGCCCTTCTCTGCAGAGACAACTGGCTCCCTCCAGCCACCATACATTGCTGTCAGTTTCCCTGACCTAAAAAGTGCTCCCAAGCTCTCCACCTACCTTAAGTCCACCTCCTCAGGAGGCCTTCCCTGACTATCCCAGCCCCACCTAGTGGTATTCCCCACCCTACAGATCAGGAGTCAGCAAACGAAGGCCTGTCAATTAAATCTGGCCTGTGACCTGTGTTTGAATAGCCTGTGAGAGAATTTTTGTAAAGGGTTGCCAAGAAATGGAAAGGGAAGAACAGAAGGAAGTGGGAAAGCAGCAGCAAGAGATGCTATGTGGCCCATAAAGTAAGAGATGCTATGTGGCCCATAAAGCCTAAAATATTTATTATCCAGCCCTTTACGGAAAGTGTCTTCAGATCCTGCATGTCAATGAGGATGGGCACTGAGGGCGCTAGAGTGAGGAGCTTGCCATGGGCATCTCTCTGTGAAATGCTGAGGGCCCTTCTGTGAACTCTCTCACTGCAGATGGAAGGAGCTGAAGTGCCCACACCTGGGTCAGGGCCAGCAGTTGTTCTGAGCATGCCATCCTCCAGCCCAGGCCCTGGATTCCTGCTGGCTCCAGGGTAGAAGCCTCGGGGACAACAAATCTAACCAAAGACAGTGCTGCCTTCCCGTGCTCTCTGGAGAACACGAGCACCGGGCATTAGCAGCTTGGGGCCCAGTGGCTCCTGTAGGACACACCAGCTGTGCTGAGAGCAGTGTCCTCAGTCCTCAACCAGTGGAGGCCCTGGCATAGACAAGGGCATTTGAGGCAGATGCCACCTTCAGCTGGCATGGCTGGCAAAGCTCCTGGTCTGGACATAGGAAGCAGAGGGACCCATCACCTGATAAGCAGGAGAGGACAGCAGCTGATATGAGGAGTCAGGAGGGCCAGTCCATGAAACCCCTGGGGAGCCCAGGGTGGGGCTCCTGCAGTGATGACAGAGAAGAGTCAAAGAAATACCCAGGGGGAGGGAGACTCTTTCTGTGTTCATCGTAGGCTGGTGCCTAGAACACAGGTCAGAGCTTGCCCTCATTCAACCGGTAAAGGACAGAGCAGGGCTCAGACCTTGTCTTCTGGCTCCCTGTACAGTGCCTGCTCCACAAAGCCCACTCAGCTTCACTCACCTCCAGCAGGTGTGGGAGAGACTAGGCTGGAGGGCTGAAAGTTTCAATCCCAGAATGTTTTACAGGCACAAAGTGAAATACAGGCTAAAGGCTCCAAAGTAGGCCAGACCTGCTCTAACAAAAACAGGAGGCTGGTGGTGGGGAGGAGAGAAAATTAGACTGAAAGGCTGAGTTGAATTCTGGTCCTGGTTCATCTGCTCACTGGAGGGCTGGAGCCAAGGTCGACAGACCCCCCAGGCATGAATTTAGAGGGGCCACACACCCTCAAAATTTAAATACAAGCTATTGCATTTATCATTTATCCAATTTTTAAAGAGGTGCCTGACCCCCAGAAGAGCCAGAGCCACTGCGCTGGTCTGTGGCCTGGGGAAAGTCCTCTCTTCTCTCAGGGCTTCAGTTTCCTCATCTCAAAGGAAAGCACTTTAAATGTTAGTTACTAAAGTTTTAAGTAAAGATCTTTGTCTTTGGTGGGGTAAACATTCTCCCTGCAATTACATTTGACTGACAAGCCCTTTTTGCACAGCGCGGCAAATATCCATCTCAGCCCAGTGTGCAAATTGCCAGGAAGCCCACCGATCCGTCAAGGTCTCTCAACTCTCACCAGTCCCTGGAGACTTCTCTTGACCACTCCAGTCAATCTCACTATCTGATAGTTTTTACTCTTTCCTACAAACACACCAGAAAATATGCTGTTCTTTAATAGGCCAATGAACATCAGAACATCCAAAAGCCTGGGGCAGTGACTTCTCCACAAAGATCACCAGCCCAGGGGGTCCCCAGGAATAGGGTGAGGTCCATCTTGGGTGGGTGGGCAGAGGGAACACAGCCTTGACAGAAGGAAACACCTGAAAGAGAAGGAGGAGTGAGCCTGAATGCCTAGAAGACAAGTGAAGGCCTTGGAAGGTCCAGGTCTGCCTGTGAGAAGAGACAGGAATAAGTCAGTGAATTCTGAGGCTTGTGCAGAAACTGAGGCCCAGGTGCAGATCGGGACATGGGTGGGCTGGGGGGTTGAGTGGAAGTCATAGGAAGAAAAACAGGGCATAACCTGCTGTCCTGACCCAGATTCGTGGGGAGGCCCCTGGAAAGGTCAGTTGGCTCATGGGGAGGAACTGAGGAGCCAGACTGAGATCCAAACACAGACGGAGACGGCTTCCCTTGGCCTGAGCCTGCTTCACATCTCCGGGCACAAGGGATGCCCACGAAGGTGGGCATTCAAGGAAGAGAAAGGGTGTCTGTGCTAGGACCCCCCAAACCAGAGATTGTGGCATCAACCTAGTATTTGACCACATAGGAGCAGCAGAGAGAGCCCCAGCCATTCTGACTGCTGCCTGGGTTGCGAGCGCAATTATAGAAGAGCTGACACTGATGCGTTGCTGGGGCTGACCACCTGTAGAAGCCCAGCTGTCTCTCAGGGTCTCAGAATCAAATGGCACCCATGGACGCAGCAAAGCCTTCCCATCAGCCAGAGAAGTTCCCATAAGAAAACACTTCCTCGCCAGGTGCTGGGACCATGCCTTGGAGCTGCCCCAGAACTCCCAACCACACCTCATATTCCAGGCAAGTACTTGGTTCCCTGTATAAGAAGCATAAGTGCCACCTAAGGTGCTGCTAGGATAGTAAACATTACAAATGCCTCGTACCAGTTCATTAAGGCAAGTCCCTTAAGGACTTCTTGGGAGAGAATTTGAGACACCTAAAATGTATGAAAATGGTTTTTCAAGTCTTCTGAACATTCAAACCTATCTAAATTCCAGCCCAGCATCTAGAAAAGAGGGGGTGGCTCCTCCATCCTCCCCAGCAGTTCATCAGTCCCCTACCTGTGATGGTGACGGAGCCGTGAGCGTCCTGCTGCAGCACGGGGTTGCGTACCAGGCAGCTGTAGGTGCCATTAGCACCCAGCACCACTCTCAGAACACTGCGCACGTCAAACAAACCCTGCTCATTGGCCATCTGCGATGTGGTCACATTGCCCGACAAAGGCACACCCTGCCCATCCTGCCAGAACACCTCGGCCTCAGGGTAGCCCTGGTAGCTGGAGCACATGATGGTCACTATATCCCCAGGCTGCAGGTCCTTGTTGGGCTCCAAGGTCATGCTGGGCTTCGAGTAGGGGGCTTGAGGGAGGCAAAGGGTAGAGGTCAAGATAAGGCAAGGACAGAGGGGGCACAGTGGAGGAACAGGGTGCCTGGGGCTGTAACAGGGGTCAGCACTGGGCAGTGGGTAAGGAGCTAGGGAAGTGAGAGGGGTGACTCAGGGGGAGGGCGTCCCCTTCTGGTGCTCACCTGCCACCTGCAGGCTGACCGCAGCGCTGCCAAAGTCTCGGATGCTCACGAAGCAGGTGAAGCTGCCCTCATCAGCCACACGAACACTCTGAAGCCTCAGGGACGCGTTGCCCTGAGCCAGTAGGTCAGGGAAGAGCGCGGTGCGGTTGGCATAGGCGCTGCCCTGGTCCTGGCCCTGCGTGAAGCTGTGCACCAGCTGTTTGGTGTCTGTCAGCTGCCAGATGAGATTGAGCTGCTCCAGGCTGAAGCCGGGCTCCGGTGAGAAGGAGCAGCGCAGTGTAGCATCGGTGCCCAGCAGGGCCACCACGGGGTCTTCGGGGACCTGGACCTCTACCGCGCCTGAAGGCGAGGTTGGAGGAGCAGGGTAGTGAGGAGGGGTAGCAACACTCCATGCTACCACCCTGCAGCCTCCCACACCTCCTCCCCAATCAACCCCAGGCCCCGTTCTACTTTCCCATTTTCTCCCCACACCCAAAAGCAGATCGAGCCTCAGGACTCCCAGACATAGAGTCTCCCTCATCTTCTGACAGAAATCATAGCAGATTGGCCTTGGTCTGACAAGGTCCATTCTCGGGGCCAGACTTGGGCTGCCTCTGGCCTTAGCAAACCTCTCCTCCCAGCTGGGACTCATTTCCCTCCCCTTTCCTTCATCCCTGCTGAGAGCTGAACGCTTCTCCATCCTTCCAGAAGTCTCCAGGGCCCTGAGTCAGGAGATCTAGAGAGCAGAGAAGCCTGTTACCATCGCCCTCACCCCTTAGCACTACCCACCCTGCTTTTTTCTTTTCTTAAATAAACATGATTAGTGGGGACCTGTATCTCCAAGGCGGGTCTGGGGGCAGAGTTGGTGGGGCAGGGTGGTCGGGTGGGTGGAGACACGCTGGGCCTCTCTAGTCCCCTTCTCCTTCAGGGTTAATCCCAAGCCCCATCCACCTGTTCTCTGAGGCCTGAGACCTAAAGTAAGTTTACTGGCTGCAATCCTCATTCAATCAACACAAATACAGTAAGCTCCTACTATCTGCCAAGTGTAAGAGTTAGGAATGTAAGAGAATGGGACCAAAGTCACACCTATTCAGAGCTGACATTTTAATAGAAGAGAGGAACACACTAGCACACAAATCCTTATTAGCATGTGATTAGGAATAGGAAGGAAGAAAACATGTCAATGAATTAGAAAGTACAGTGGTAGCTTTTCAAACAACTGGCAGGTACTTAACAGCTATCTATTCTGGTTTCATTTTCCCATGAGTATATCTATAATAATAAAAGTGTAATATGCTAATTAGACCAGACACCCAAACGACCTTCTGGATGTCATTCCGGACGTCCTTCTGGATGAAGCCACAGTGGCAGGGGCCAAGGCAGAGGCAGTTAGGGGCTATCAGGCAGGCAGGCGAGCAGTTATGGGCATTGGGCAGGCAGGCAGAGTGGTTAGAGGTGATCAGGCAGGTGAGCAGTTAGGAGCCAGTGGTCCCAGATTGTGAGAGGGTGCAGGCCGGGCTGAGAGACCCCCACCCCCTGCATGAATTTCGTGCACCAGGCCTCTAGTATTATCTTTATAAATTAGAAAGGGGAGTCTAAAAAAGTATGCACTGTAGTGTTATTAGTGGTTTTCTCTGGATGAGAAAGGATCACAAGTGCTTTTTTCTTTTCTTAAATAAACATGATTAACTTGCACAGAAAGAAAAAAGTGCCCATACTTTTAAATATGGTAGTGAGGCACATTCTTAGAGCTATTAAGCTGAGATTTAAAGGAAATGAAAAAGAGCCTGACACACCGGAGCCCCACTAAAGCAATCCTGTTCTGTAGGGTAAACCCCTGCATAACAGTTCTTCCACTGTACTCATAGCCAGACCTTAGCCAGTCAGCGTGTCAATCCCTCCCACAGACATGCCAATAGAAATCAGGGCTCAACTATAGAGAAGGGCACACACAATCCACACAATGGACACACCTGGAGTACCTGGCTCAGGTGACCACAGAGAATGTGCCACTGGGCCCCACAGGACACCTACTACATAGACCACTCTACCAAGACCAGAAGCATAGCAGCTCTACCTAATAAATAGAAACCAACACAGGGAGCCGTCCAAAATAAGGATACAAAGAAACAATCCCAAATGAAATAACAGACCAAAACTCTAGAAAAAGAACTAAACACAATGGAGACAAGCAATCTACCAGATGCAGAATTCAAAACACTGGTTATAAGGATGGTCAATGATCTCAATAATGAGTTCAACAAAGAAATAAGAGACATAAAAATGAAGATAGAAAACATAAAGCAGTTAGAAATGAAGAATACACTAACTGAAATGAAGAATATATTAAAGGGAATCAACAGTAGAGTAGAAGAAGCAGAGAATCAAATCAGCAATTTGGAAGATAAAGTAGCAGAAAGAAAATAGCAAAAAAAAAAAAAGAATTCAAAAAATTAGGATAGTTTAAGGGACCTCTGGGACAACATCAAGTGTATCAACATCCACAGCAGAGAGGTCCCAGATGGAAAAGAGAGGAAGCAATGACAGAAAAAATTCCCTAACTGGAGAAGGAAATAGACATACAAGACTAGGAAGCACAGAGAGTCCCAAATAAGATAAACCCAAATAGGCCGACACCAAAGCCCATCATAATTAAAATCCCAAAGGTTAAAGACAAAGAGAAAATTTTAAGAGCAGCAAGAAAAAAAAACAGAGAGTTACTTACAAGGGAGCTTCCATAAGTCTGTCAGCTGATTTCTCAACAGAAACTTTGCAGGCCTGAAGGAATTGGCACAAAATATTCAAAGTGATGAAAAACAAGAACCTAAAACCAAGATTACTCTACCCAGCAAAGCTATCACTTAGAATCAAAGGATAAAGAGCTTCCCAGACAAGAAAAGCTAACAGAGTTCATCACCACCAAACCAATATTACATGAAATATTAAAGGGCCTTCATGAAGAAAAAAAGATCAAAAGTATGAATGATAAGCCCTAGCCGGTTTTTCTCAGTGGTTAGAGCATCAGCCTGCGGACTGAAGGTCACAGATTCAATTCCAGTCAAGGGCATGTACCTTGGTTGCAGACTCCATCCCCAGTCCCCATCAGGGTGAGTACAGGAGGCAACCAATTGATGTGTCTCTCTCACATTGATGTTTCTTTCTGTTTTTCTCCTCCTCCCTTCCACTCTCTCTAAAAAATCAATGGAAAAAATATCCTTAGGAGAAGATTAACAACAAAAAGCATGAATAATAATATGGCAATAACTACATATCTATCAACAATTACTTTAAATATAAATGTATTAAATGCTTCAATGATAAGACATAGGGTGGCTGAATAGATAAGAAAACAAGACCCTCGCCCTGGCTGGTGAGCTCAGTGGTTAGAGCATTGGCCCATGTCCCAAAGGGTTGCAGGTTCGATCCCCATTCCTGGTCAGGGCACATGTCTAGCTCACATCGATGTTTTGTTTTCTCTCTCTCCCCCTCCCTCCCTCCATCCTACCCTCTCTAAAATTCAATGGAAAAAATATCCTCAGGTGAGGATTAACACAAAAAGAAAGAAAGAAAAGAAAAAAAGACCCTTATATATGCTGTCTACAAGAAACTTACTTCAGATCAAAAGATACTCACACATTGAAAGAAGAGATAGAAAAAGATATTTCATGAAAATGGAATTGAAATTAAAAAGCTGGGGTAGCAATACTTATACCAGACAAAATAGACGTTAAAACAAAGGCTCTAACAAAAGACAAAGAAGGACCCAGCAATTCCACTTTTGGGTATTTATCTGAAGAGATCGAAAACACTAATTCAAAAAGACATATGCACCCCTATGTTCATTGCAGCATTATTAACAACTAGGGGCCCAGTGCACAAATTAGTGCACCTTGAAAGGAACTGTGGGCCGCGAGGCTGCAGTGGGCATAGGGGCGGGTCTTGGCCCATCCTCTGCGCCCCCGCCCGGCCCCTCCCACGGTGGATCCCGGTCCCCTGTCTGCTGGCAGCCCCACTCCACCGCTGCCACTCCCACACACTGAGGACGCAGAGCAACTGGGGCCAGCATCAGCAGTGGGTGCAAGCAGAGCCGGCGCTGTCAGTGTGTGCGAGCGGCGGCTGCTGCCTGGATCGCCCCTCGGGAGCAGGGGGAGGTGGAGAACCCCTCAGGGGCGATCAGGGCCTGCAGCCACCACTCGCACCTGCTGATGGTGCCCAGCGATTGGGACTGGTGCTGGGCGCCAGCTGCGGGTGCGAGCGGGGCCGTCGCCGGCATCAGGTGCAAGCGGCGGCTGCCGGCCCCGATTGCCCCTCAGGAGCAGGGGGAGGTGGAGAAGCCCTGAGGGTCGATCAGGGCTGGCAGCCACCACTTGCACCCGCTGACGACGCCCAGTAATCAGGGCCGGCGCCGGCAGCAGGTGCGAACAGCAGCTCCAGCGCTGGCAGCAGGTGTGAGCACCGGGCAGGACCATGGCGTGTGGGAGCAAAGAATTTTCAGTAACCACCAGAGGCTCACCCCGATGACAGCAACTGGTGCCCCGCCTTGGTCTGATGCCCCTGCTCACCTGCTCCACCATCCCGCTGCGGCTGACGCCTGCCATGTTCTGCACGTGCCTCCTGGTGGCCAGTGTCATTCACCATGTTCTGCATGTGCCCCCTGGTGGTTAGCACACGTCATAGCGACCAATTATTCAGTTGTTCTGTCGTTTGGTCTATTTGAATACTAGCCTTTTATTATATAGGATAGTTAAGATATGGAAGCAACCTAAGTGTCCATCAATAGATGAATGGATAAAGAAGTGGTACATACATACAATGGACTATGACTCAGCCATAAAAATGAATGAAATCTTAACATTTGTGACAACATGGATGGACCTAGAAAGTATTATTCTAAGTGAAATAACTCAGAGGAAGACAAATACCACATGATTTCACTTACATGTGGAATCTAAAAAACAAAATCAACGAACATGCAAAACACAGACTCATAGATAGAAACAGACATTTTGATGGTTGCAGATGGTAGGGGGTTTGGAAGGCTGGGTGTGAAAGAGGAAGGAATAAAGAAGTACAAATTGGTAATCACAAAATAGTCATGGGGATGTAAAATACATAATAGGGAATACAGCCAATAATATTGTAATAAACTTATGGTGTTAGAAGTGTACTAGATTTATGGGGGTGATCACCTTATAAGTTATATTAATGTCTAATCACTATGTTGTACACCTGAAACTATTATGATATTGTATATCAACTGTAATTGAAAAATAAAAAATTACTCTAAAAAATAAAATTTTAAAAAAATGATAAAGAGCCTGACATACAAAGAGCCACATAGAGGCAATAGCAGGTGCGAA